TTTTTTTGGGATTTTGGGGGGATTTTTAAATTTTTTTTTAAATTTTTGAGGGGATTTTTTGGAAAATTTTTAAAATATTTTTTGGGAAATTTTTTTTTAATTTTTTGAGATTTTTGGGCGATTTTATTGAGATTTTTTTTGGGACATTTTGGAGATGATTTTGAATTTTTTGGGGTTTTTTGGGAATGTTTTTGGGAGGTTTTTGGGAATTTTTTGGCATTTTGGGGGGATTTTTTAATTTTTTTTTAAATTTTTGAGGGGATTTTTTGGAAAATTTTTAAAATATATTTTGGGAAAATATTTTTTTGATTTTTGAGATTTTTGGGTGATTTTATTGAGATTTGTTTTGGGACATTTTGGAGATGATTTTGAATTTTCGGGGGGTTTTTGGGAGGTTTTTGGGAATTTGGGGGGATTTTTTAATTTTTTTTTAAATTTTTGAGGGGATTTTTTGGAAAATTTTTAAAATATTTTTTGGGAAAATATTTTTTTGATTTTTGGGTGATTTTATTGAGATTTTTTTGGGGACTTTTTTTTAAAATTTTTTCAGATATTTTAGGGATTTTTTCTTTTTTTTCCCCGATTTTTTGGGGAATTTTTGCTCCTATCTCCCCCCACTCCCCCACTTATTTTTTATTAATTTTTGGAAATTTTTTCTTGACTTTTTTTTTAAATTTTTCGGGAATTTTTTGGGATTTACCGCCACGTTGTAGATGGCCATGCCCACGGCCCGGTGGTCGTTGATTTTTTCCGTGGAGACGCTTTTGGTCTCGTAAGCCAAAAAAATCCCCAAGAGCAGCAGCAGCCCCTTAAATCCGTAAAAAATCCCTGAAAAAATCCGGGAAAAGGAAAAAAAAAATTCATTAAAAAATTCGTTAATTTTTTTATTTATTTAATTTAAAAAAAAAAATTTAATTAAACCAAATTTTGGTTTTATTTTAAGTTAAATTTAATTTAATTTTCTTTAATTTCCACGTAAAATCCCCCAAATTTCTGCCTGAAAATCCCAAAAATTCCACCTAAAATCCCCCAAAATTCTGCCTAAAAATCCCCAAATTTCCACCTGAAAATCCCCCAAAATTCTGCCTAAAATCCCCCAAATTTCTGCCTGAAAATCCCAAAAATTCCACCTAAAATCCCCCAAAATTCTGCCTAAAAATCCCCAAATTTCCACCTGAAAATCCCCCAAAATTCTGCCTAAAATCCCCCAAATTTCTGCCTGAAAATCCCAAAAATTCCACCTAAAATCCCCCAAAATTCTGCCTAAAAATCCCCAAATTTCCACCTGAAAATCCCCCAAAATTCTGCCTAAAATCCCCCAAATTTCTGCCTGAAAATCCCAAAAATTCCACCTAAAATCCCCCAAAATTCTGCCTAAAAATCCCCAAATTTCCACCTGAAAATCCCCCAAAATTCTGCCTAAAATCCCCCAAATTTCTGCCTGAAAATCCCAAAAATTCCACCTAAAATCCCCCAAAATTCTGCCTAAAAATCCCCAAATTTCCACCTGAAAATCCCCCAAAATTCTGCCTAAAATCCCCCAAATTTCTGCCTGAAAATCCCAAAAATTCCACCTAAAATCCCCCAAAATTCTTCTGCCTAAAAATCCCCCAAATTTCCGCCTGAAAAACCCAAAATTTCCACCTGAAAATCCCAAAAATTTCCGCCTGAAAATCCCAGAAATTTCCACCTGAAAATCCCCCAAATTTCCGCCTGAAATTCCCCAAATTTCTGCCTAAAAATCCCAAAAATTTCCACCTAAAATCCCCCAAATTTCCGCCTGAAAAACCCAAAAATTCCACCAAAAAAACCCCCAAATTTCCACCTGAAAATCCCAAAAATTCCACCTAAAATCCCCCAAAATTCTGCCTAAAATCCCCCAAATTTCCGCCTGAAAATCCCAAAAATTTCCACCTGAAAATCCCCCAGAAATTCCACCTGAAAATCCCAAAAATTCCACCTGAAAATCCTCCAAAATTCCACCTGAAAATCCCAAAAATTCCACCTAAAATCCCCAAATTTACCCTAAAATTCCCCAAAAATTCTGCCTGAAAATCCCAAAAATTCCACCTAAAATTCCCAAATTTGCCCTAAAATCCCCCAAAATTCCACCTAAAATCCCCAAATTTCCGCCTGAAAAACCCAAAAATTCCACCTAAAATCCCCCAAAATTCCACCAGGAGCCCCCCAAAATTTTGGGGACCCCCCCAAATTTTCAGGACCCTCCAAAATCCCAGAAATTCCCAAAAATGTCCCTAAAATTCCTCAAAATTCCACCTGAAAATCCCCAAAATTCCACCTGAAAATCCCCAAATTTGACCTGGACCCCAAAAATCCTCTCAAGATCCCCCAAATCCCACCTGAAAATCCCAAAAATTCCACCTAAAAATCCCCAAATTTGCCCTAAAATCCCAAATTTCCACCTAAAAATCAAAAAAATTCCACCTAAAATCCCCAAATTTCCGCCTGAAAATCCCAAAAATTCCACCTAAAATGCCCCAAAATTCCACCAGGAGCCCCCCAAAATTTTGGGGACCCCCCAAATTAAAAATCCCCAAATTCCACCTAAAAATCCCAAATTTCCACCTAAAAATCCCAAAAATTCCACCTAAAAACCCCCAAATTTGCCCTAAAATCCCAAAATTTCCACCTGGACCCCCCCCAAAATTTTGGGGACTGCCCATTTTCCCCATTTCCCCCAAAATCCCACCAGAAATTCCCAAAAATGTCCCTGAAATTCCTCAAATTTCCATCTAAAAATCCCAAAAATTCCACCTAAAAACCCCCAAATTTGCCCTAAAATCCCAAAATTTCCACCTGGACCCCCCCCAAAATTTTGGGGACCCCCCTCACCGAGCCAGGTGTTCATCTTGGTGGAGCTGCAGTGCTCGAGCTGGGGCAGGATGGACACGTCCATGTCCGACTTGGGCTCCTCCTTGGTGAATTCCTGGGGGGAAAACGCCCGGATTTGGGAATTTTGGGGGCGTTTTGGGGATTTTTGGGGTGGTTTGAGGTAGGGAGAGTCAGAAGAACCTCCCAGGAACCCTCAAACACCTCGAGGATCCCTCAAACCCCTGGAGAACCTTCCAGAACCCCCCCAAAAGCCAGGAGAACCTTCCAGAACCCCCCTGAAACACCTGGAGAACCTTCCAGAACCTTCCCAAACACCTCAAGAACCCCTTCAAACCCCTTGAGGAACCCTTAAACACCTGGAGAACTTTCCAGAACCCCCCAAACACCTCGAGGATCCCTCAAACCCCTGGAGAACCTTCCAGAATGCCCCTCAAACCCCTGGAGAACCTTCCAGAACCCCCCTCAAACAGCTCCAGAACCCCCTCAAACCCCTTGAGGAACCCCAAAACACCTCGAGGAGCCCCCAAACCCCCCCAGAACCTTCCATTGGGGATTTTTGGGGTGGTTTGAGGTAGGGAGAGTCAGAAGAACCTCCCAGGAACCCTCAAACACCTGGAGAACCTTCCAGAACCCCCCTCAAACAGCTCCAGAACGCCCTCAAACCCCTTGAGGAACCCCCAAACCCCTGGAGAACCTTCCAGAACCCCCCTCAAACATCTGGAGAACCTTCCAGAACCCCCCAAAAATCCCTGGAGAACCCCTCAAACACCTCCAGAACACCTCGAGAACCTCCCAGGAGCCCCCTCAAACATCTGGAGAACCTTCCAGAACACCCAAAAATCCCTGGAGAGCCCCTCAAACACCTCCAGAACACCTCGAGAACCTCCCAGGAGCCCCCAAACACCTGGAGAACCTTCCAGAACCCCCAGAGAAGCCCCCAGACCTCGATGGTGCGGTGCAGGGGGTCCACGATCTGCCACACGCTCAGCGTGACGACGTCGAAGGCCACCAGGCCCCCCACGGTGGCGTAGAGCTTCCAGGGCTCCAGGCTCTGCAGGGAATTCCGTGTCACCAACCGGGAATTCCGGTGTCACCCAACCGGGAATTCCGGTGTCACCCGAGTAGGAATTCCGTGTCACCAACCGGGAATTCTGGTGTCACCCAACCGGGAATTCCGGTGTCACCCGAGTAGGAATTCCGGTGTCACCCAACCGGGAATTCCGGTGTCACCGACCGGGAATTTCCACCACCGGTGACCAGGAATTCTGGTGTCACCCAACTGGGAATTCCGGTGTCTGGCGTAGAGCTTCCAGGGCTCCAGGCTCTGGAGGGAATTCCGTGTCACCAACCGGGAATTCCGGTGTCACCCAACCGGGAATTCCGGTGTCACCCGAGTAGGAATTCCGTGTCACCCAACTGGGAATTTCAATGTCACCCAACCGGGAATTCCGGTGTCATCGACCGGGAATTTCCACCACCGGTGACCAGGAATTCTGGTGTCACCCAACTGGGAATTCCGGTGTCACCGACTGGGAATTCCCGGTGAGTGACAATGGAAATTCCTGTTCACCAATGGTGGAAATTCCCAGTCGGTGACACCGGAATTCCCAGTTGGTGACACAGGAATTCCCGGTCACTGATACCAAGGAGAACACCCAAATCCCAAAGGAACACCCGGATCCCAACACCCAAATCCCCAAAAACCACACCCACATTCCAAGGGAACACCTGGATTCCAACAATATCAACCCCAAGGGAACACCTGGATCCCAAAAGAACAGCCGGATCCCAAAGAAACACCCGAATCCCAACACCCAAATCCCTAAAAACCACACCCACATTCCAAGGGAACACCAAGATCCCAAAGAACCCCCGGATCCCAACAACCTGAACCCCAATGGAACCCCTGGATCCCAACACCCAGATCCCCAAAAGAACATCTGGATCCCAAAGAACACCTGCACCCTAAGGGAACACCCGGATCACAACAACCTCAACCCCAAAGGAACACCTGGATATCAATGGAACCCTCAGATCCCAACACCCAAATCCCAAAAAAACCACACCTGGATCCCAAAGGAACACCCAGATCCCAAAAGAACACCCGGATCCCAAAGGAACACTCGGACCCCAAAGGAACACCCAGATCCCAACACCCAAATCCCCAAAAACCACACCCGGATCCCAAAGGAACACTCAGATCCCAAAGAACACCTGGACCCTAAGGGAACACCCGGCTCACAACAACCTCAACCCCAAAGGAACACCCGGATCCCAAAGGAACACCTGGATCCCAACACCCAAATCCAAAAGGAACACCTGGATCCGAAGGGAACACCCGGATCCCAAAGGGACACGGACCCCAAGGGAACACCCAGCTCACAACAACCTCAACCCCAAAGGAACACCCGGATCCCAAAGGAACACCTGGATCCCAACACCCAAACCCAAAAGGAACACCCAGATCCCAAAGAATACCCAGATCCCAACACCCAAATCCCAGAGGAACACCCAGATCCCAAAGGAACACCTGGATCCCAAGGGAACACCCGGATCCCAAAGGGACACGGACCCCAAGGGAACACCCAGCTCACAACAACCTCAACCCCAACGGAACACCCAGATCCCAACACCCAAATCCCAACAAACCACACCCGCATCCCGATGGAAAACCCCACCCAAACCAACCCCCAAATCCCAACAACAACACCACCCCTCCGCCTGTTCCCCCGGGAATTCCCGGCAGTTCTCGCCTTCCGCTTGTCCTTTTTGTCGTCCTTCTTGGTGAAGACGGTGTGCACCCACCAGATCTTGGTGAACATGCTGCCGTAGGCCAGGCTGAAGCCCAGCCCCAACAGCCACAGCCGCGCCTGTTGGAAAACAACAGTCGGAAAACGCCGCAACAGTTGGAAATCCAGCCAGGAACAGTCAGAAACAATCAGAGGAGGAACAATCGGAATGGAAAGAAACAGTTGGTAACAATCAGAGGAACAACCAGAGCTGAACCCAGGAAATTAGAACAACCAGAGCAGGAACAGTCGACATCACCGTTCCCGGCTGGATTTCCAACTGTTCTGGTTGTTCCTGACTGTTTCTTTCCTTTCCTGGTGGTGTCTCCGCCTGTTCCCCTGCCTGTTCCCGTCCCATTTCCCTCTTCTGTGCCTGTTCCTCCATCTGTTCCTCCGCCTGTTCACCCTCTCTGCCTGTTCCTCTGCCTATTTTTCTGCCTGTTCCTCTGCTTGTTCCTATGCCATTTTCTTGTTCCTCCGCCTGTTCCTTTGCCTGTTCCTCCACCTGTTCCTCCTCCTGTTCCCATCCCATTTTCTCCCCTCTCCGCCTGTTCCCACTCCATTTTCGTGTTCCTCTGCCTGTTCCCATTGAATTTTTCCCCCTCTCTGCCTGTTCCTCTGCCTGTTCCCATCCCATTTTCTCCCCTTTCTGCCTGTTCCCACCCCATTTCCCTGTTCCTCCGCCTGTTCCTCTGCCTGTTCCCACCCCACTCCCCCATTCCTCTGACTCTTCCCACCCCCTTTCCTCCTCTCAGCCTGTTCCTCCGCCTGTTCCTCCGCCTGTTCCCGCGTCCCCACCTGGCAGACGAAGGGGAACAGCCCAGGCCCGATGTGGTACCCGTCGAGCCCCAGCGGGAAGACGGCGGCGAGCGCCAGGGTACAACCGACGGCCGTCATGTTGTTCAGGTAGGGCTGGGAATTCTGGATGTACCTGCAACAACCGGAAACGGCAACACCCGGACGCGCCCGGGGTGCCCAGATGACAGCATCACTCTCAGGGTGACAACGGCTTTTTTCCCTTTTTCCCAGAATTTTCCCAAATTTTTCCCAGAATTTTCCCCAATTTTTCCTGAGTATTCTCCCTTTTTCCCAGATTTTTTCCCAAATTTTCCTAGAATTTCTCCAAATTTTCCCCCTAATTTTTCCCAATTTTCCCAAATTTTTCCCAGAATTTTCCCCAATTTTTCCTGAGTTTTCTCCCTTTTTCCCAGAATTTTCCCAAATTTTTCCCAGAATTTTCCCCAATTTTTCCTGAGTATTCTCCCTTTTTCCCAGATTTTTTCCCAAATTTTCCCAGAATTTCTCCAAATTTTTCCCCTAATTTTTCCCAATTTTTCCCAGAATGTTTCCTGATTTTTCCCAGAATTTTTCCCAGTTCTTACCCAAATTTTTCCCCATTTCCCCCCCAGTTTTTCCAATTTTTCCCAGAATTTTTCCAAATTTTCCCCAATTTTTCCCAAATTTTTTCCCCATTTTTCCCAGAATTTTCCCCAATTTTTCCTGAGCTTTCTCCATTTTTCCCCTAATTTTTCCCAGAATGTTTCCAAATTTTCCCACTAATTTTTCCCAATTTTTCCCAGAAATTTTCCCAATTTTTCCCCAAATTTTCCCTTTCTTGGTCCCATTTTTTCCCCATTTTTTTCCAACTTTTCCCAATTTTCCCCCAATTTTTCCCCCCTTTCCCTCCCAATTTTCCCAAATTTCCCCCAAATTTTTCTCTTTTTTTTCCTAATTTTTTCCTATTTTCCCCAATTTTTTCCTTTTTTTCCCCAACTTTTTCCCTTTTCTCCTCCCATGTTCCCTCCCCATTTTCTCCCATTCTTCCTCATTTTTTCTGTGATTTTTTTCCATTTTCCCCCCTATTTTCCCCATTTTTGTCCCATTCCCCCCAAATTTTTTTCCCAATTTTCCCCCATTTTCCCCCAATTTTTCTTCTTTTTTCCTTTCATTTTCCCCTCATTTTTCCCCAGTTTTCCCCCAATTTTTCCCAATTTTTCCCAATTTTTTCCTTTTTCTCCCCCCATGTTTTCCCCATTTTCCCCCCCATTTTCCCCCAGATTTTCCTTTTTTTTTGTCCCATTTCCCCCCAATTTTTCCCCAATTTTTTTCCCTTTTTTTGTCCCATTTTCCCCAATTTTTCCCCAATTTTCTGCCATTTCCACCCAATTTTTCCCCAATTTTTTCCCTTTTTCCCCATCCCATTTTTCCCCCAATTTTCCCTCCCATTTTTCCCAATTTTTCCCCCAATTTTCCCCCAATTTTTCCCTATTTTTTCCCCAATTTTTCCCCCTATTTTTCCCCATTTCTGTCCCATTTTCACCCAAATTTTCCCCAATTTCCCCCCAATTTTTCCCCAATTTTCCCCAATTTTTCCCAAATTCCCAAAATTTCCCCATTTTTCCTGATTTCCCCCGTTTCTCACCGATCCATTTAAAAAATTCAGGAATTTGGGAACATCCAGAAGGATTTTCCATAATTTTCATCATTTTCCTCCTTTTTTTTTCTCTTTTTTTCCCCATTTTTTCTAGTTTTCCCCCATTTTTTCCCAATTTTTTGCCCAATTTTTCCCCATTTTTCCCCCCAATTTTCCCCAATTTTTTCCCTTTCTTGGTCCCATTTTCTCCTGTTTTTCCCCCATTTTTTTTGCCCAATTTTTCCCTTTTTCCCCCATTTTCCCCCCCAATTTTCCCCAATTTTTTTCCCTTTCTTGGTCCCATTTTTTCCCCATTTTTTTCCAACTTTTCCCAATTTTCCCCCAATTTTTCCCCCCTTTCCCTCCCAATTTTCCCAAATTTCCCCCAAATTTTTCTCTTTTTTTTCCTAATTTTTTCCCATTTCCCCCAATTTTTTCCTTTTTTTCCCCAACTTTTTCCCTTTTCTCCTCCCATGTTCCCTCCCCATTTTCTCCCATTCTTCCTCATTTTTTCTGTGATTTTTTTCGACAGGTGACAAGGGACAGGTGACAATGAGACAGGTGACATCTTGGGGACACCAGGATACGTGACAATGGGACAGGTGACACTGGACAGGTGACACCAGGACTGGTGACACCAGGACAGGTGACACTGGACAGGTGACAAGGGACAGGTGACACCCAGATAGGCGACACCTTGGAGGCACCAGGACAGGTGACACCCGCACAGGTGACACCAGGACAGGTGACAAGGGAGAGGTGACACCTTCAGAACGCCCTCACAGATGACACCCGCACAGGTGACACCAGAACAGGTGACAAGGGACAGGTGACAATGGGACAGGTGACACCTTGGGGACACTGGGATAGATGACACCAGGACAGGTGACAATGGACAGGTGACACTGGCACAGGTGACACCTGGCAGTGGCACTGGTGACTCTTGGGCACAAGTGGTGGAGGCAGAGGGGGTTGGTGGCACCTGAAGGTCCCTCAATGTCACCTGAAGGTCCTTCAGTGTCACCCGGAGGTCCCTCAGTGCCACCCAGCGTTGTCCCCCCGTCCCCCGCTGTCCCCTCACCTTGGAGCTGCTCGATGAGGGTCCAGGCCATGCGGGAGCCGCTGGCGTCGAACACGACGTGGCCCTGGAGGGGACACGGGGACAGCGTTGGGGACACCCCGGTGACATCCTCAGTGTCACCTCCACCCAAAGGTGAATTTTGGGGCCACATTTTTGAGGAATCCCCACCAAAAATGAAGATTTGGTGTCACCTCCACCCAAATCTGACCATTTATTGACACTTTTAATGTCACCTCCACCCAAATATGAATTTTGGTGACACTTCTGATGTCACCTCCAACCAAAGATGAATTTTGGGGCCACATTTTTGAGGAATCCCCACCAAAAATGAAGATTTGGTGTCACCTCCACCCAAAGACGAATTTTAGGACCCACCCCTCGATGTCACCTCCAATCAAAGATGAATTTTGGGGCCACATTTTTGAGAAACTTCCACCCAAAATGAAGATTTGATGTCACCTCCACCCAAATCTGACTTTTAGAACCCCTCTTGATGTCACCTCCACCCAAATCTGAATTTTGGGGTCACATTTCTGAGGAACCTCCACCCAAAATGAAGATTTGGTGCCACCTCCACCCAAATCTGACTTTCAGAACCCTCCTTGATGTCACCTCCACCCCAGGCCGGATTTCGGTGGCACCGGCGACGCACCGAGACGCCCTCGAAGGCCGAGGAGTTGAGGGCCCGGTAGATCTCGTCCGTTATGGTCTTGTTGTTGTAGTTGAACTCATCCAGCCCCACCCCTTGCTTGGCCAACTCTTGGGCCGTCTTGTTGAGCGCCAAGGCCAAGGCCCAGATGGCGTCGTAGGCCAACGGCGCCTCCTGGTAGCCACCGGTCTCCTTGGGGTTGTTGCCCAGCCTCTTCTCCAGCTTGTCGATGAATTCTTGGGACGTCTGGTGGACAACGCCCAACGGTGAGCCAACGGTTGGGTTGGAGACCACTCAACGTTCACCCAAAGTTGACCCAATGGTTGGGTTGGAGACCACCCAAGGTTGATTCAAAGTTGACCTAATGGTTGGGTTAGAGACCACCCAATGCTTACCCAATGTTGACCCAATGCTTCCATTAGAGACCACCCAAAGTCAACCCAATGTTGACTCAATGGTTGGGTTGGAGACCACCCAAGGTCAACCCAATGTTGACTCAGTGGTTGGGTTGGAGACCACCCAAGGTTGACCCAATGTTGACCCAATGGTTGAGTTGGAGACCATCCAACTTTGACCCAATGGTTGAGTTGGAGACCACCCAAGGTTTGTGTTGGAGACCACCCAAGGTTGACCCAAAGGTTGGGTTGGAGACCACCCAAAGTTGACCCAACAATTGGGTTGGTCAACACTCAACATTGACTCAATATTGACCCAATGGTTGGGTTGGTCAACACCCAATATTGACCCAACAGTTGGGTTGGCCACCACCCAACGGACCTCCTCGGTCTGCTGGATGGTGGCGATCTTGGTCCAGCCCCACTTCTTGAAGAGCTGGACGCGCGTGGGGTTGTGCAGCGTGGCCGACGGGTGCGTGCGGAAAAACGTCGGGAAGCGCTGGCGGTTGGAGAGCGCCGGCGAGCTGGAGCCGTAGGAAAGCTGGGGGAAGAATTCCCCCCAAAATTTGGGATTTTTTTGGGATTTTTTGGGGATTTTTGGGGATTTTTTTTAGATTTTTTTTTAGATTTTTTTGGGATTTTTTTAAGGATTTTTGGGGGATTTTTCTGGGATTTTGAGGGATTTTTGGGGGGGATTTGTGGGGGTTTTTTTGGCAGTTTTTGGGAAATTGGGGATTTTGGGGTGGGAATTTTGGGGATTTGGGAATGGGAATTGTTGGGATTTTGGGATTGTGGGAATTTGGGGATGGGAATTTGGGGAATTTTGGGAATCAGAATTTGGAGATTTGGGGTGGGGATTTTGGGGATTTGGGAATTGTGGAAATCTGGGAATGGTGGGAATGTTTGGAGTTTGGGAATGGTGGGAATTTGGGAATTGTGGGAATGGGAATTTTGGGGATTGTGAGAATTTGGGAATTGTGGGAATTTTGGGAATTTGGGAATTATGGGAATGGGAAGAGGAATTTTGGGGATTTTGGAGATTGTGAGAATTTGGGAATGGTGGGAATTTGGGGATGGGAATTTTGGAATGTGGGAATTACGGGAATTTGGGAATGGTGGGGATTTGGGGATGGGAATTTTGGGGATTTCGGGTGGGGATTTTGGGAATGGGAATTGTTCGGATTTTGGGGGTTTTGGGATTTTAGGAATTGTGGGGATTTGGGAATGGGAATTGTGGGAATTGTGGGGATTAGGGATTTGGGAATGGTGAGGATTTTGGGAATTTGGGGATTTTGGGGGTTTGGGGATTTTGAGGGAATGGGAATTGTTGGAATTTTTGGGATTTGGGAATTTTGGGAGTGGGAATTTTGGGAGGTTGGGAATGGGAAGGAGAATTTTGGGAATTTTAGGAATGGGAATGGTGGGAATGAGGGTGATGAGAACAACCTGGGAGTGACAGGAAAAATCTGGGAACAACAGAGGAGGAACAACGTGGGAATGTCGGGAATGTCCTGGGAATGACAGGAAAAATCTGGGAGTGGCAACCTGGGAGTGACAGGAAGAACCCCCCCAAAATCCCAAAAATTCCCCCCCAAAAAAATTCCCAAAAGATCGGTAAATAGTCCAAAAACTTTTTATTTTATTAAAAAAAATTACAAGAAAATGTTATTTTTAATTTTTTTTAAATCCCCCAAAAATCTCCCCAAAATGCCAAATATTCCCCCCCAAAATTCCCAAAATATTCCAAAATCATTTTGAAAAATAAAAAAGTGTTTTAAAAATCCCCCCAAATTCACAAAAATTCCCCAAAATACTCTTGCAAAAAATCCCCCCAAAACACCCCAAAAAAATCCCCAAAAATTCTTTAAAAAATTGCCCAAAAATCCAGAAAATGTCCCCCAAAATCCCTCAAAAATTAAAGAAAAAAATTCAAGAAAACCCCCCCCAATAAATCATCCCCAAAAATCTTCAAAAATTTAAAAAACCCCAAAAATTGATAAAATCCCCAATAAAAGCCCCAAAAAAATCCCCCCAAAATTTGCCCACCAAAAAATCCCCCAAAAAAATCCTTCATAAAATAAAAAAACACCCAAAAAATCCAGAAAATCCCCACCCAAAAAGCCAAAAAACTCAGAATATCCCCCCAAAAAAATCCAGAAAATTCCCTGAAAAAAATCCCCAAAAATTCTTCTAAAAATACCCCAAAAATTCTTCTACAAATCCAAATTAAAATGCAAAAAACCCCTGGAAAAATCCCAAAAAAATCTTTAAAAATCCCCAAAAATCCCAAAAAAATTCCCCAAAAAAATCCCACACCAAAAAATTCCCAAATTTTCCCCAAAATTCCCGAATTTCTCACCACGGTGACGTTCCAGATCCGGGCGGCCTCGGCCACCAGGGTGGAGACGCTGGAGCAGCCGGGCATGAGGATGATCTTGAACGGGAGGTTGTAGAGCAGCTCGTAGAGGAGCTTGGTGGCCTGGCCGGGGTCACACTGAGGGGACAATTGGGGACAATCCCAGTTCAACCAGTAACTCCCAGTTCGTCAGTCGGACTCTGAGGGTGTTTTTGGGGGTTCCTACCGAGGTGAATTTGGGAACCACCAACGACAACTTGAGGGTCACCAAGGAGGATTTTGGGAACACCAAGGAGGATTTTGGGAACACCAAGGAGGATTTTGGAACCACCAAAGCAGAATTGGGATTTTTTGGAATTCCAGGACCGACTCGGACACCGGGATGGTTTCGGGGCGTCAGTCGGACTCTGAGGGTGTTTTTGGGGTTCCTACCGAGGTGAATTTGGGGGCCACCAAAGACAATCTGAGGTCACCAAGGAGAATTTTGGGAACACCAAGGAGGATTTTGGGGCTGCCAAAGCCCAGGATGGACTTGGACACCGGGATGGATTTTGGGGCGTCAGTCGGACTCTGAGGGCGTTTTTGGGGTTCCTACTGAGGTGCATTTGGGAGCCACCAACGACAACTTGAGGGTCACCAAGGAGGATTTTGGGAACACCAAGGAGGATTTTGGGACCACCAAGGAGGATTTTGGAACCACCAAAGCAGAATTGGGATTTTTTGGAATTCCAGGACCGACTCGGACACCGGGACGGTTTCGGGGTGTCAGTCGGACTCCGAGGGTGTTTTTGGGGTTCCTACCGAGGTGAAGACCTCCTCGGTCTGCTGGATGGTGGCGATCTTGGTCCAGCCCCACTTCTTGAAGAGCTGGACGCGCGTGGGGTTGTGCAGCGTGGCCGACGGGTGCGTGCGGAAAAACGTCGGGAAGCGCTGGCGGTTGGAGAGCGCCGGCGAGCTGGAGCCGTAGGAAAGCTGGGGGAAGAATTCCCCCCAAAATTTGGGATTTTTTTGGGATTTTTTGGGGATTTTTGGGGATTTTTTTTAGATTTTTTTTTAGATTTTTTTGGGATTTTTTTAAGGATTTTTGGGGGATTTTTCTGGGATTTTGAGGGATTTTTGGGGGGGATTTGTGGGGGTTTTTTTGGCAGTTTTTGGGAAATTGGGGATTTTGGGGTGGGAATTTTGGGGATTTGGGAATGGGAATTGTTGGGATTTTGGGATTGTGGGAATTTGGGGATGGGAATTTGGGGAATTTTGGGAATCAGAATTTGGAGATTTGGGGTGGGGATTTTGGGGATTTGGGAATTGTGGAAATTTGGGAATGGTGGGAATGTTTGGAGTTTGGGAATGGTGGGAATTTGGGAATTGTGGGAATGGGAATTTTGGGGATTGTGAGAATTTGGGAATTGTGGGAATTTTGGGAATTTGGGAATTATGGGAATGGGAAGAGGAATTTTGGGGATTTTGGAGATTGTGAGAATTTGGGAATGGTGGGAATTTGGGGATGGGAATTTTGGAATGTGGGAATTACGGGAATTTGGGAATGGTGGGGATTTGGGGATGGGAATTTTGGGGATTTCGGGTGGGGATTTTGGGAATGGGAATTGTTCGGATTTTGGGGGTTTTGGGATTTTAGGAATTGTGGGGATTTGGGAATGGGAATTGTGGGAATTGTGGGGATTAGGGATTTGGGAATGGTGAGGATTTTGGGAATTTGGGGATTTTGGGGGTTTGGGGATTTTGAGGGAATGGGAATTGTTGGAATTTTTGGGATTTGGGAATTTTGGGAGTGGGAATTTTGGGAGGTTGGGAATGGGAAGGAGAATTTTGGGAATTTTAGGAATGGGAATGGTGGGAATGAGGGTGATGAGAACAACCTGGGAGTGACAGGAAAAATCTGGGAACAACAGAGGAGGAACAACGTGGGAATGTCGGGAATGTCCTGGGAATGACAGGAAAAATCTGGGAGTGGCAACCTGGGAGTGACAGGAAGAACCCCCCCCAAAATCCCAAAAATTCCCCCCCAAAAAAATTCCCAAAAGATCGGTAAATAGTCCAAAAACTTTTTATTTTATTAAAAAAAATTACAAGAAAATGTTATTTTTAATTTTTTTTAAATCCCCCAAAAATCTCCCCAAAATGCCAAATATTCCCCCCCAAAATTCCCAAAATATTCCAAAATCATTTTGAAAAATCAAAAAGTGTTTTAAAAATCCCCCCAAATTCACAAAAATTCCCCAAAATACTCTTGCAAAAAATCCCCCCAAAACACCCCAAAAAAATCCCCAAAAATTCTTTAAAAAATTGCCCAAAAATCCAGAAAATGTCCCCCAAAATCCCTCAAAAATTAAAGAAAAAAATTCAAGAAAACCCCCCCAATAAATCATCCCCAAAAATCTTCAAAAATTTAAAAAAACCCAAAAATTGATAAAATCCCCAATAAAAGCCCCAAAAAAATCCCCCCAAAATTTGCCCACCAAAAAATCCCCCAAAAAATAAAGTGTTTTAAAAATCCCCCCAAATTCACAAAAATTCCCCAAAATACTCTCGCAAAAAATCCCCCCAAAACACCCCAAAAAATCCCAAAAAATTCTTTAAAAAATTGCCCAAAAATCCAGAAAATCTCCCCCAAAATCCCTCAAAAATTAAAGAAAAAAATTCAAGAAAACCCCCCCCAATAAATCATCCCCAAAAATCTTCAAAAATTTAAAAAACCCCAAAAATTCTTCTACAAATCCAAATTAAAATGCAAAAAACCCCTGGAAAAATCCCAAAAAATTTTTTAAAAATTTCCCAAAAAACCCGAAAAAGTTCCCCCAAAATCCCCCAAAAAATCCTTCATAAAATAAAAAAACACCCAAAAAATCCAGAAAATCCCCACCCAAAAAGCCAAAAAACTCAGAATATCCCCCCAAAAAAATCCAGAAAATTCCCTGAAAAAAATCCCCAAAAATTCTTCTAAAAATACCCCAAAAATTCTTCTACAAATCCAAATTAAAATGCAAAAAACCCCTGGAAAAATCCCAAAAAAATCTTTAAAAATCCCCAAAAATCCCAAAAAAATTCCCCAAAAAAATCCCACACCAAAAAATTCCCAAATTTTCCCCAAAATTCCCGAATTTCTCACCACGGTGACGTTCCAGATCCGGGCGGCCTCGGCCACCAGGGTGGAGACGCTGGAGCAGCCGGGCATGAGGATGATCTTGAACGGGAGGTTGTAGAGCAGCTCGTAGAGGAGCTTGGTGGCCTGGCCGGGGTCACACTG